CGAGCGCTCCTGAGGCCGGACACGGGCGGCTAAGCGAACCCCCTCACAGCCCGAGCGGGCACTCCACTGCTCTAAGTTTAGGCGCGAGCGCGTGTTGACTATTCAGCGACCGCTCCCCCCACGCAGGCTCCTCAGCACAACCCCCGTCGAAGGCAGTCCAAAGCTGCCAACATGGCCGCCGCCTTCATCTTCCCTCAGAGCCTCCCCCTCTCCGTCCCAGGCCGCGAAATGGATGCCGGGAACAGAGCGATCTCGCGATAGCCGCAGCCTCACAGGGGCGGGGGGAGGGAGAAGCTCTGGGGCTGGGAGAAGAGGGGCTGCAGAGGGGAAAGTGGGATAGAGAGGAAAGGATTTGTGGAGAGGTGTAATGAACGGATTGTGCTTATAAAGTGTGGAGTCCGCCATGCATTAGACTGTAAATACACTTTTCGGTGCACACATCGCATGTGTCCTGCTGCACACGCTGCATCGCACTTTGTTTGAGTGGCCTTGAATGACATCATTTGCAATTTCATTTCACTTGCATCACTCCTGAGCGTGTTTGTCTGCCACGCTGGAGGCGTGTCACGCGTTGGCTTTTAGCCCATGGGAGAAACAACAACAACATGTGAAATACTTTGGCTTTGCTGAGAGGCAAGCCACCGGCCACGAAATGCCACTCTCTCTCACACACATCTTAATAAGCAATCGCCACTATTCATGCTGGAATTCTGCGTGGGCACCTGGGTGGGGCTAAGTGGTTCTCATTCCAGGATTAGGGCCTTGGCTCTCTCACTTATGATGTGTTAACCTGAACAAGTTAAAAGGAAATACCAACCAGTTTGTTCAACAGCATGAACATTTTAAAGTACTTTTCCATGTTTATAAACTTTGAAATGTATTTGAAAATAAAGTTTACAGTGACAGGAATAACTATTACATAAAACAAGTCCAACATATACACAAATCATATGTGCTTCATTACAGGTCTGTTTTAGATGTCTGGCTAATTTTATGAAGTGCAGACCTAAGGACCAATCCTGTAAACACTTATGCACGTGCTTAACTTTACCTATGTGAATAAGCACTTTGACATCAATGTGACTTAGGGTTACCATACGTCCGGATTTTCCCGGACATGTCCGGCTTTTTGGGATTCAAATCCCTGTCCGGGGGGAAATCCCAAAAAGCCAAACATGTCCGGGAAAATCCGGCGCCGCTGGGCCGGGGGCTGGCCCGGGGCGCTGGGCGGCCGGGAGCTGGGGGTGCTAGGGGGCGGGACTATCTTCATAAATGTATGTATATATTATATTGTCATAAAAAGGATAAAGTGGACCAGTTAAACGGAGGCAGAAAATCTAAATTAATGTTTTACAGATTACCCACTCATACATATACTTTAAACCTTTAATTAAAACTTGTTCCTTTTTTAAGCTCTAAAAATTCATAGAATAAATTGTGATTTGCAACCCTCTGTATAGACACTTCTTTAAGAATGGCTTATTTTGGTTTAGTTTCACCCAATTTCTAAGGGGTTGTCTACACACTGTTTTTGTACTGCTTTAACTATATTGGTTTAGATGCAGATGTAGTTAGTGGTACAAACTAGTTTGGCTGCAGTTATACTGATATAAACATGCTTTTCGTAGTATAGCTTATTCTACATGTTAAGTTATACCAGTATAAGCAGCTTAATAATGGTATTACTGTATGCACACACTGTATTGTACTGATTTAAATACACTGATATGAAATCATGCCCTTAAGTGAAATAATTCCGTATAAAAATAAATCAGTATAAAAACTGTGGTTAAACCAGGCCTAATTGATTTAACTATACTGAAACAAGTCTGGTTTAAACTGAAATAAGAGTGTCCACAAGAGCCTTTTGCACCAGTTTAATTAAATCCATTTAAAATCACACCTTTAGTTAAACAAGAGTAAGAAAACAGATGGTGCCTTATGTCTTATCTACATGTCTCATTCTCTTACCTGCTGTTAATCAGTTTATTAATTTACCATTCACACATGACATATTTGTTCGTTTCCCCCAACACATTTATCAGTTCTCTTCACCCACTTCATCAATTCTCTCTCATGAAAATGCCAGTTTTCTCCCTAGTTCCATCAAATCCTCCTGTTATTAGCAGTAGCCACCTCAGCATCTCTCCCAGTTGGGCCTCTTCTCCTCGCTGCTTCAGTTGTAGTATTATGGTGTTATGACCTACAGCAGGGCTTGACATTTTCCCATTAGTGCTGCTCAGATATTTGTCCTCTATGGAAAGGACAAATATTTCCATTCCTATGCTTGGGAAGTGGACTGCCTCACCCAGACAAGAACCCTTCCCAGATTAAAAAATGTCTATATAAAATATTAATTGCATTATTTTTTCCCTGTGAAGAAAAGGCCAATACCTGCCTCCTTTCAACATAAACTGTCACAAAATCCCTCACCTCCTTCCAACACACACACACCTCTTATGAACTTTTTGATAAAGGCCCTGATCCTACAAACACCTATGAACATACGGAAAGTCAGTGGGACTGCTAGGCTGGCAGTTGAACTTTGGCTGGCTTCACAAGATCTATCAGAGTAGGGCTCACCTTATATATCAACTTGGTGTGAATGAAAAATAAGGATATTCCCATTCCCAAAGAAAAATCTTTCTTACAAAAATAAAATTGAACGTTTGTTTGAAAGGAGTACAAAACACAAAAGGAATGGTCAGTCTGGTAGGGAAGAGTCCTGGTTCCATTAAGGAAGAAATTGTGTATTCTTATTTGGGCCTTAGAAAAAGGGGGAATTTCTATACTCCTCAAAAAGAGAGAAATTAGAGCTTTTGGGTCTAACCTCAGTTACTCTGTTCCTTGACTTGGGGCAGAAATGGAGGGGGAGGAAAGGTGGCTTTCCTGGTGCATTCCTGACTCCCTCTATTCTTAGGCCATTGAGGGGGTCTGCTTTAGAGCTATTTTAACTTTCATGCTCTACTTCTTAAGGCCCCTTTTGAAATAGCTGTACTGTAGTGTGCTCCAGCCGTACCCTCCTTTGTATCCCTGACATGTCCCCCATCCGTAGGGGCTGGGAACATGGTTCGAGTAGAACTATTAGGTCAGTTCTATGATGGCTACAAAGGCCTCCTGAACAAGGGGGATCTCAGGCAGCCATGTTTTCCCCATTTGAAGTCCCTTTATGTGGTCAGAGTGGTGTAATGGTAAGGAGTTGTACTGTAACCTAGAATCAGGCTCGCTTTTTTTCCTCTTTGAAGTCTGCTGTTTACACCAGTGGAGAGGCAGAATACATCCTGTGAGCCCTACAATGGAATTTCTTATGTTTATAAACAATAAAATATGACTTGTTTTCTAGGTATTCTATTAATTTGAGGGTGAGGTTGGGTAAAAAAAAAATTTCTAACAGTAGTAGAGTGCATACTAAAGTACTGAATTTGCCAGTTGGGGATCACTGCATAATCAGCCTAATTAAAAAAGGGATGTCAAACTCATTCTGTGGAGAGGGCTGAATTCTATTTTTAATGAGGGCTTGTGGGCTGGGGTGTATATTTGGGACTCTATGCTATCCTCAAACCACAGCAGAACTCCCTCTAACATGGGGGAAGGTTTAAATAAACGTAAGGATTGAATACTGGCCTTTAAGTAGTAAACTACACTTAACTACAAAAGTTAACTAAACTTTTGATTATCACTCTTTATTTTGTTAAAGTTAAAATATATTTCTGTGATGACTGCTATTTTTACCTTCTTTTCCTATCCTCCTGAAAGAAAAACTATTAATCGTGTTTTCAGCATTCAGAGTCTACAAAGAGAAAATGCCCTGCCTTTTAGCTCATTTCATAGCAAGTGGATAACTTATTTGAGAGTTGGAGGACATCCTGATGCAACTAGTGCTTAGTTTTCCAGCACATAAAGGATTCTGACTGAGAACATGACATAAAATCTTCCTGTCGTGGCACAGCAGAGCCAAAGAAGAGAGAGACTTAAGTGCTAGAGCTCTGCCTTCCTTCTGTTGGTGGTGCATGTCCTCACCAGAAGTGCTTCTACCAACTTGAGGGACAGTGCTGTGAACTCCAAACCTGGCTCACAGCTGGGGCTTTCACCCCGGGTGAGTTGGGGGCTCCAGCTGGGAGCCTGGCCACCATTGGGGCTCTCAGCACCACACGGAGCTCACTGCCAAGAGCCTGGCTGCCCCCGGCTCCTTGCTTCCCCCCATCTTGGGGAGCCCCAGGGGGCAGCTGGGCTCCCAGTGTGGAGTCATGAGTCTGGAGCATTGTGTGGAGTCGAGAGCCCGGGCAATAGCTGGATGCACAGCTGGCGCCCTCCACCTCTCCAGGGGTGACAGCCTCAGCTGTGAGCAGAGCTTGGGGTTCACAGTAGGGAACCTACCCGCCTTTCTTGTCCATTTCAGAGCTCCAGTGGAGCTGTGAAACTGACAAGAATGACAGCAAACAGCCAATGTAAGTAAAGCAGTGTCTACACAGACACTGCGTCGACCTACACAGACATGAGCCCCATGCCTCTCATGGAGGTGGAGTTATGTCAGTGCAATAGGGCACTTACATCGGCTGCAGCAAGGCTGTAATTAGATAGATATATGCTGCCTTACATGGACCTAACTTTGTAGTGTAGACCAGGTGCTTTGGGCAGGGCCATGAATGAGGTGGCCTAGCTGGTGAGATGCGCTGCTCATCTTGGCGGCAGGCGTAAGCCCCCAGCTATTGGGGTGACACCAGGGAGGGCTACAGGAATTTGCAGATGGAGAGTGCAACCACAGTGACCAGAAGCTGTCTACAGGTAAACCCCCAGTGACCCACACAGGAGAGCGGACGAGGCAGGCAGCAAGTGAGAGCGAGAGGAGCCCCAGGCTGCAGCACAAAGCGACTCGCACTGCTCTGCCCTCCCTGCCTCAGCCAGGCTCGGCCCCTCTAAGCGGGAGGAGGAGGCCGACCCCTCCCAGAATGCCTCGCGCGCGGCGGAAGCCGGGCGCGCCTGTGAGCTGAGCGGCCGGCTCCCAGCTCGGCGCAAGATGGCGGCGGGCGCCTCGGACCCCCTGGAAGAGATGCTGCTCTTCTCCGAAGAGGTGGATGAGAAGGCGGTCAGCGACCTGGTGGGCTCCCTGGAATCACAGCTGGCCGGCGGGAGGGGCTCCGCCGAGGGCCCCCCCCCCTAACAGCAGCCCCCCATCCCACCAGCAGCAAGAGCACCAGGGGAGCCTGGTGGAGGGCGGCAGCCCAGTCCAGCAACAGCAGCAAGGGCATCCTGCTCCTCCTCATTTCCCCGGGGCAGGGGAGACCGCCAGGTGTCCAAGTGCCGTGGGCAGCCCACCCCCAGCCCAGGGGGCACCCCCAGCCGTGTCCCCCCCAGCGGCGGCGGCGGCCGGGAGGGGAGCGAGTGTAAACAGTAGTAGCATGCAGCAATCACATGGAGCAGCTCCTTGCAGCAGCAACCCGAGTGCACCTGCTGCCCCTGTCCCACTGCAATCCGCTGCCCCACCTCCGCCTGTTGGCGCCCCAGCCCAGCCTGTCAGCAACCACGTGGATGCCAATGCCGCTGCTCCCGCTGTTGGCAGTGGTGCCCGGGAAGTGGAGAGTCCCAGACATGGGTGTAGTCCTCCTGCAGCAGCCGCTGGTGCGGTGAACAGTGTGTTGCTGCTTAACTCCGAGGCCGTCACTGCTGGAGGGTCGCCTGAGGCTGCCGGTGCTGTCACTCCAGTAGCCGCAGCAAGTCGGGAACTTGCAAAGGCGGTAATGCTGAGTAGTACAGCTGCTGCTGCTGCTCCTCCTCCTGCTCTCTCTCTTCTCCAGAGACCTGCGCTGCATACTGTTCCTCCCGCGGCACACAGTGGGAATGGCACTTCCTCCAGCGCTCCTGTGGTTGTCACTCAGAGTCTAAAGGCTGGTTGTGCCCCAGCAGCAATAACACAAGTTGTCAACCATGAGAATCCGGCTGTCAGCCACAGCAAACCAGACTCCTCCACAGCACAGACTAAACTCCTCACACACAATCCTGCAGTAAATGCACTCAGTAACTCTACCAGTTCTGTTCCTACAATGAACCTTGTCACCCATCCAGCCCAAAGTTCAGTAGCCAACTGTGCCCCTGTAGTGTCCAGCCCGATCACCCTCACTGCTATATCTAAATCCACAGTTAATATTATAGGGCCACCTGGCTCTGCTGTTGGTGTAGCCAAATCAGCCACTGCTGTACCTGTCGTCTCTGCAGTCCCCCAGTCGCTGTCACCCAGGCCTGCAGTGGGCACTGCTCAGAGAATAGTTGCACCACAATTGATTGTTAGACCGCCTCAGCAGACTACAATCCAGTTGCCTCCAGGTTTTACTATACCACCTGGTAAGTGGAAATTATAGGCTTGTTAATCTCTGCTAACCCGTTTTCCTCATTGTGATTTTTCAAAGTTGTGGCTGTGCTACAATTCAAGTACAGAACTATCAAATAAATGTGTGGTACACCAGTAATCACGTTTTTAAAATGAATTCTGTTCTAATAAACACATTGACATTACTAAAAATATTATTTAATCAATTTAAAATTTGTGGTGGCTAATTTAAAAAAATGTTGTGATGGTTGTTGGGGAGAATTATTTGTTTTGTTAAAGGAAAATGTTAATCATGGTAAGTTATTTAAAAACTGCAGTAAAATAAAACAAAACACTTAACTTTATTTTAGAAGTTGCTGATTTATAGATAGATGTCCTATCTAGTTGTAGGTATAAATTTTGTTAAATTTTCTTTACTACTGCTGACACTGGGAAAAGTTCTCCATATTCAATCAGTGTCTGTCCTGATGTGGCTAATTAAATAATCTAATGTAATGCTTTCAATCTCAATACATATATTGTGCTGTGCACCATAGTATCTGGGCCTCTCCCCACATAAGTAGGAGTCACCTCTAATTCCACAGTAACAATTTCACTCCACTCCCTCTGCTCTTAATGATGATTTCTTAATTATTTAGTCTTGTTGATACTCAAAAATAAACGGTTAGTAGTATCTGGCTTTGTTTTCTAAAAATACTAGTTTAGTAAGGTTGACCATAACTAAAACATTAGCCATATATCCTCATGCCAACAATTCCTGATTTAAATGGCTATTTTATTGTCAGTTTCAAATTTTGAAGGGTGTCCAATGTTGTTTTGTCATGCTTGAGTACTAGTGGTGCAAATAGAGCACAAGTCCTCGCCTCTGAAATTTGGTGATTTATTCAAGTGAAGTTTAATTGTTTTTCTTATGCAAATAAAGATTCTTCATCCATTAATACATTGTATGATCTGAAATTGTTTTTCTTGTCTCAGAATTCCTTAAAGTGTTTGACATCAGTTAAGTAAATGAAGTTTATAGACTGGTATGCTTGCTGTGTGTGAATAAAGATTTGTCTTTACTGCAGTGTTTTAAATAGTTGTGAAGTTGACCACAGGTTATGAAACTCCTGACGTATTTTTGTAGAATGCTACTGCATAGATCAGGCAAATTCTTATGACTTTATAAAGATCTCATTTAACTTGGAACAGATATCAAGCTGCTTTTAGAAAGTGAAAGTGTAATTATGTAGATAGTATATTAGCACACTTTGCTATTGTTTCCTATACTAAGGCATGTACTTCATAACTTACCATCAATTTCAGAAGTTGAATGCTATCATTGCTTTGTTCTACTGTTTGGTTGTTAAACAGAAGAGGAAAATGATACTCTTGAAAACAAACATTTTATAGATTTTAGAAAATATTATTGAAAGAACTTAGTAGCATGCAAACTTATAAATGTTTTTGCTCTATAGAACTACTTGCCAGTAAATCAGTTCAAGTTACTTAAATTTGAATATAAAAGTCACAGGCAAGTGTTCTCAGGGGATAAGATGGAGAGAAAATGAAAATATCTATAATTCAACTGCAAAAGTAATGGACAGCTCTTTACTGGTTTTAAAATAGTGCAGTTTTCATAGAAGAAACTTGTGTTTAAAGCTGAAACTTTAAAAAAATATTCTTTTTTGAGTAGGTCTTCTTAAATTATATCACAAGCTCTTAAAATCAGCTTCCTGTTTACCTAGCTGGCAGTAAAGCTGAATAATAGCCCATAATATTAGATGCTTCAGATGTGCATATGTTTTTTAAGCATAGATCAATCAAACTAATTATAACAATGTCCTGAACCTGAATTAATCACATTCATTTTAAAAAGCAAATTGTCATATATGAACATTTATACCCTCATAGCAGTAAATATTTCTACAACTTGAATAACAAACTTATTCATGCATCACAATTACTTTGACTGTCCCTACTTGGTGGTATGAAGTGTAGGGACCAGTCACAGCCCAGCTACTTCAGATCTGCTTCTCAGTTAATTTCCATTTTATGTAGGGAAGATTAGCAAGTGTTTTCTAGATGTCTCCCCATAAGGTTAATTCACATAAAGAGAAACTACAGTACCTACAAGGATTATACTTGAGCTTAACACTACACTGTTAAGTCAAAAATTAACAGACTAATAAACTGAAAATGCAGCCTGTGCATTAGATTTTGGCCTAGGATATAGGCTCTGCACTTGCAAACACTTATGCACACGCTTAACTTCGTGCATTCAGTGAGACTTTGTCTTCAGTGGGACTACTTGTGGGACATACATTTAAGATGAATGTAAGTCTTTGCAAGATTAGGGGCCTTAGTTTATAAAAATAAAACCGGACAGGGCCGAGGAGGTTCAGCAGTAGACAAAGGCAAGTGCGGTGATGGGGGAGGGATAGAAGAGTTGGAGTCTGGTTTAGATTCCCAGGACTGGAGCTGGCCACAGTGCAGGGCTAAGACAAATGAGACATCTGTGGGACTCTGTATTGGCACAAGTGTCTCTGCCAGTAGATCCCATTGCTGGATCAGGATTTAAGAATTAAATGCAACTCTCCCCCCGATGCTCTGTTACTGTCTCTAATTACACCTCTAAATTTTGTCACCTTCTTATATACTCAGGTAACCAATTGTTACATTTGTACTGTTCAAATGTAACCCAAATTGTTAAAGCTGTATTTTTAATTGTTTTTCTGCTGATTTTCCCTTACGAAATATCTGATTTTATACTGTAATAAACATGTCAGGAATGATGTATGGTGAATGAAGAAGGGAAAATGTTAAGCTACTGCATGTCAGTTCTATTCATAGTACTTACTATTATTTTGATCATTTTCATTAGGTATGGTCTTGGTGCGCACAGAAGCTGGACATCTTGTAATGGTACCTCAGCAGGTTTTAGCCCAGGCTCAAGTGCAAGCTCAAGTACAAACACAGGGGCAAGGTCCTGCCAGCATCTCACCCAGACTTTCAGTGCCCACAAGTGGTCCAGTTTTTCGTTTAACAACAACCCAGGTACATTTTTTCATGCTTGTGATTATCATTTTTCTTTATGATCTACCGTTTTTTCTATCACAAACATTATAAAGCCGGGCTTCTTTGCAAACTTGTTCACGTAAACCATTTTTGAACTGAAAACAAATTACAGAGGAGGGAAATATTGTACCTCACCTTTAGCCAAAGTATGGCTTAGTTCCAGGGGTCCAGGAAATTTCTCTATATGTCTACATTTCAGGAGTCCCATATTATAGCTTCTGTTAAGGCCACTTTGGGCTGTGAGTCCAACAGACCTCATAAAGTAAGCAGGATCAAGCTTGGTCAGAACTTGTTTGGAGATCTCCGAGGAAATCATACGTGCTGCTGATTCAATAGGTGACTCTCTTCCTTCTGAGTCAGTACTGATCTAAATCCCCAGCATGGTATATGGGGGGACTGTGCTGTTAAGATTAATTTTTCAAATAAAATGAACAACAGGTGTCCTGCCCTCTTGTAGTCATTAAATGTTGTTGTACATTATTCAAGAGTAAGGGTGGTGATTTGCATGTTGCATTAAGATTTCAAGTTGGGTGATTGCGTTTTGTGTACCTGAATTTCTCTATTAAATTAAGTTGACTACGGTATCCTTTCCTGCCCCATAATATTCTGTAGAGTTTGATGTTAAAAAGTTACTGTATTTCCACACAGAGGTACTAAGATTAATATTAAGTTTCTGATGAGTTTGTAAAGTGCTTTGCGATCCTTCTAGCTAAAATCCCCAAAATCTATATTAATGCAGGTAATTATCATTTAACTAAGTGATGGTACTTCAGGGAGGTTATTCAGCTTTGGCTACTTTGGACTATAAAACTAGAGATCAATATTTCTGAGCATTGTTATTGCGCAGCTCAGCCCTAGTAATGCTCTTCTGATTTGTGAGGGCAGAGTTAAGATTGCTTTGGTAAGTACTTATGAGTACTATGACTGTGAGTAACTGTGAGCTGCTGTGCTAATGCAATAGCGCCCCCTTTGGTCAGAATTAACTTGGTCTGGGAAGGCAGTTAGTCAGCTCCTTTTAACTGAGTTTCTATTATAGTCCTATTCTGGGCTATGCAGGGTGTTAGTTTCAGTCCTGCTGAGGTGTACGGGTTTCCCTTGTACTTGGTAGGGTCAGCTGATCCTGGTTCCTAAGGGGGTCTCGAACCCCTTTTGTTCTTAAGTCTCTTTTGTGGGATCGGTAGGGGAACCCAGGCCCACCCACTCCACTGGGTTCCAGCTCTGGGGCCTTAAACAAGACAGACCAAATAAGGCCTCAACAACAACTCCTGCTGTGCCCTGAGCGCCTTTCTATCTCCCTTGGTTCTGTAGGCTTCTCCAGCCCGTACATCAGTGGTACCCAAACTTTTCGTGTCATGCCCCCCCCTTACCAGTAATGGAATCTGTCCATGCCCCCCCTCCATTACTGCAGAGGAGCTTGGGCTGAAGGCAGAACTGGGGGCTGAACTGGGGATGTGGCAGGAGATGGGATTAGAGGTGGAGCTGGCCTGGGGCTGGAGAGGGAATGAGGGCAGAGCTGGGCTGGAGGTGGAGTGAAGCTGGGGCTGGAGCTGGGCTGGAAGCAGAGCAGGGCTGGGTGGCACTCCCTCCCACCCCCTGTGCGGGGTGGCCTGGACCCCGCTGCATGTCCCTCCAAATGTTCTTCCACGCCCTCCTAGGGAGACGTATCCCACAGTTTTGGGACTACTGCCATACATCCAGTCATCCCTTTTCTCGAGTGTTGTCTCTCGGCAGCTTCTCACCAGCTTGCTGGCAGGACTTTCGTTCTCCAGCCTGCTTGCTCCTTTAGTAGCCATCCGACATTATAAGATTGTATATTTAGACATATCCTATGTAAAGTTAGAGAGAAAATGGTTTACATGGGAGCACAGCTTTTGAACACAATACTACAGAAAAGATATTAACAATCAGAGGGAGTTGAGAAAAGATAAAAACTTGTAAGGAACTGTTAAGAGGACTGAGCATGTCTAATATGACCATTTGAGGAGATGATCACGAGCATGAGGATGACAAGCCTGTTAAAGAGTAGTCTTCGGAATTATGTGGAATGCTGGGGGTGGAAGGTTGGAAAAAGTCATTAAGAAAAAAAAGATTCGGTGGCTTTGTGGGAGGCTTCTCTGAAACAGGCCTAAGCACAATGTTGCCACGCTGCTTTGGATTTTGTGTAGATAGGATGTAGTTCTTTGTATTGAAGAGGCACATAATCATAAGTGCAGTGGATCTCAAACTATTCCAGACAGACTATGGAAGCGGTGTGGGCCAAGGGATGTGCTGGCTGCCGCTTCCCGCAGCCCCCATTGGCCTGGAGCGGCGAACCGCAGCCAGTGGGAGCTGCGATTGGCCGAACCTGTGGACGCTGCAGATAAACAAACCATCCCAGCCCGCCAGCGGCTTTCCCTGATGGGCCGCGTGCCAAAGGTTGCCGATCCCTGTCCAAGAAGTTGTGATTTCAACATTTTACAGTGGCAGTACTGGAACAATAGGATTGTTGCTAGTCAGGGATTCGTGTGCATTGAGACAACAGTATGGTATCTGCCTAGACTGTCATATTGGTCTGTTTCATGAGCACCACATTTGTTTACTCTTATCAATTAATAAAGGCAATGAAATGATTAAAGCAGTCTTTGGGAGGCTTGAATTTAATTATTCTGGAAATAGCCGATAATTTTTTCTCTTCTGCTGCCAGTGACTTTTATTTGTATATATTTGGTCCAGAAAATATGTTTTAAAACATTTGACTAGAACCATTTTTTTAAAGCCAGAAAACAGTGAATCCCTTAAATAATAAAGGCTTTACTACATAAGAACTACACTTGTATTTGATTCTTATAGAAGACTTATTTCCTGAGGCTGTTGAACTCATTGCTTTTCTGGAGGAAAAGTTTAATGACAAATATTGTGCTAAGCTTTTAGAAATGGCTGCGTCTTCAGGTTTGGTTTTTTTATGTTTTTCGTTTGAATAATGATGATTGATCAAGGAGAGGAATCTAATTCAAGAAGTATAGCAAATAATGTATACTGAAAACAAAATTGTCTTCCAGCAATTCTATAATTGACAGGTTTTTTTTTCCTGTTCCAGAATACAGTTCTGACTTGTCAGAAAGCTGGAGCTGCCCCCCTCCACCGCCCCAGTGAAAATCTGTAAGGGTACGGGAAATATTTTCTGCGCGGATGTTGTTAGGCCTGTAAAGTAAAATCTCCAGGAGTCCTGTTCTTCTCAGTCATTCAAACTGAGACAAATTGCACTAATCATTGGCTCAGAACAGTCTGAATGTACACATATGTTGTCTTGGACTAACCAGAAGAACAGCACAAGACAGACAAATATAACAAAAATAATGCCGCATTGCTGCTTAATTTAGTTTCAACTTCTGCCTAGACCCTTTAATCAGTTACATACATATCTCTCCATCATGCTGATGCAGATGAGTATCATTATCTTTGCACCAGATATTAAAATATCTCAATCATTATGTATGCCTTGAATCTGTAATTTAAGGTATTCTCTTTAGATTATATTTTAGAATGTTATTTTTTTTAAGTGCATAGTATTTTGTGATCTTCTATTTACTGGTCATCAAGGCTGAGTCTTACTCTGAGAAAACAGTGGATGTTTTGACTTTGGCTGTCAGACAGTTTAGACTCCTTGCTCCTATGTAACCAAGCGCTGAAAATAGTTGTCCTGCTGCTAAGGTCCTACAGTCTGTGTAAGAGAGGCTTTGACCTTCTTATTCTTGTGGTAAGTATGATAGACCCTTTTTTATAAGTGGGACATTTGTTTTCTATTCAAATCTGAGGAGAGATAGTTGGAGGGCTGTCATATTTAACACCCAAAGTCAAATGTGGTTGTTTACTCAGTTTTTCCGTTAAGGCTTGAAACCATTTTCAGGGTCATATTTGTAACACAATTTGTTATTACACCTTAAATAATCATAAACTGTGTTAAGAAACCATATTATAAACTACCTAGCTCAGTGGTGATGAGTCAACACCACTATAGTTAAGGTTGCATCGCAACTTTTGTTTAAAGATCAACCTTTCTAAGTCCTCTAAAATCAACATGCTTAGATTCCTTTTTAATTTGGTTTGCAGGGCAGGGTCATTGACCCAAATTTGGGGTCATATGAGCAAGGGGTTGAAGAGATAAAAGCTCTGAAACAAAAAGCCATTATTCAAAAAGTTTCTAAGTGGGTTTTGTGTGCTGATCTAGAGATCAAAGTATTGATGTGATGTAGGTCAAAATGGTTTCAATCTGTAGAATTTTACCCAAGGTAGTGCATGGCCCCCACTAAATCTTTGGGGGATTCAAGTTGAGAATGATATTTAAAACATGTACACCTGTTTGCTTTTGTAAATGTGTAGTTTAGATTGATTACTGTGCACATGTTTCAGTAAAGAAACAGTGAGAGAGTTTCTAGGCAGCCACTTTATGCTTGCTTGTATAGTTCAAGGTTTTGTGCCAACACCGTTGCCCAGATGAAAACCTGACCACTGAATTTTCTAGTCTGAACCTTTGTACACCCCTAAAAGTTTTAATAGCTCAGGGTGCTTAAGCCAAGTTATCTCTGTTATAATATAACATGTATTTATTTTATGGTGCGGTTTACTGTGAATACAGTAGAATAGCCAGCATCTGGTCTAACCAAAATTTTTGTTATATTGGATGAGGAGGAGCCAGAGACAGAAGACTATGTGTGTGTGCATGCATGGGGAGGAGGGGAAGGTGGCAGTGGTTATTTGAAAAAATCTGTACTTTACTAGCCCCTGGGGGATTGTTGGAGCAAGTGGGTATTTCCTGATCTCAGGGCAGATTAATGTAGTGTTTCCAAAATGCATAGCATGGAGGTTTGGAACTGGACTGCTGAGGGGAAAAATGTGTGCTGCCAGGGTTGCTAGTCTGTGGATTCTGTGTGATTCCTGGATCATGAGGTTGCAGAAGTTCGTGAGAGAGCAAGGGAGTACACCATGACACAGGGATTGCT